GGTCAAGGAAAAGCGACCAGAATTGGTCAATCGTAAAGGTGTCATTTTCCAGCAGGACAATGCTAGGCCGCACACGTCTTTGTCCACTCGGCAAAAATTGATGGATATTGGTTGGGAATTGATGTTACACCCACCATATAGCCCTGATCTCGCGCCATCGGATTACCACTTATTTCGATCCCTGGACAACTCCCTTCGTGCTAAAACTTTTAATGATGATGACGCTGTAAAATCTCACTTAACTCAGTTTTTGGCCGAAAAGGATCAGACTTTCTACTAGCGTGGAATGTTCAAGTTGTCAGAGAGATGGCAAAAGGTCATCGAACAAAATGGAAAATACATTACGGATTAAACTTCATCCCAAGTAAAAAAAAAATTTTTATTTCATTGAACAAATCGGCAATTACTTAGTTGCCAACCCAATATTTACACGTATATTCGCGAAAGTTTTTTTTGTCAATCGGTTCGTTGGCTTTGTATTTAGTCGCATTCGTTGTAAGCGTATAATACGTTATCATGATAGACACGATATGAAATAATATTTACCGCAGTGTTAACGAAATTAGACGCTATGAAAAGTTTAGGAAACAACTCCTTAAATACATGTACTAGTACCGTTATATTTACAATTCGAACAAACTAGATAACTGAAACATCTAACAATTTGCGATCAATACGTTGGAAGCTAAAATTACGGAATGCGCCAAGAAATAAAGCGAATTCGTGAAGATCTCTGTTTCTAGCCTTGCACGAGAAGCCGGCGTGAAAGATCACAAGCGGCGCAAATTTGACCTGAAATGGATACCGGTTACAATTTCGAAAACTCGACCATTTTTGGTCACGCCCAATTCGGAGCCTGTATTCGGTCAAATCCGTCCCACGAATTCTTGGAACCTCCACTTCTTTCTTTCCGTGCTTTGTAAACGAATATTTCGCTTTTCCATAGATTTTGCGTTTCGTTTTTATTTTGTTTTTTTTTTTTTACTTAAAAGTACTTGAAATTCATATCACGGCATCTTCGAACGGAGCAAATTGCGTTTGAAATATTTTTCAAACGATAAACAGTTACGAAGATAGTTCGCTGCGATTCGAATGTTCTCAAAGCGAAGCACGGTTACGGCAATTGATAATACTGCGACGAAATGGCGGTTTCGGAGCTATCTCGCGCGCGGCTGGTAATAATGCTCCAACAAAAATTACATCCTCGTTACTGCGGCATATTGTTCGTTAATGAGGCGTAACCGGAGGACGAAGGACCCGAGTTCCTGAAGGGAAGGACGATTCGTTCCAGGGCACGAGGGTGAGCGGATCATCGAAAATCTTATGACACCTCGCTACCCTTATGGTGTCAAAGGCAGCACCCTCGACGAGATTACGATTCCAGCCACCTGACTCCGTGTCGAAAGATTTTGCCACCGCTCTCTTCGACTCGAACGCAAAACTCGTTAACCCTTTTTGTGATTAACGCGATCGTCGATTGTCCCGTGGCGGAGGAAAATCTCAGACCGATCGCAACGCTTTGAAGAAGCAACGAGATCGGAATTCGTTTCGATAACACCCATGGCGCCGTGAGAAATAATATTTTTGAACGAGTTGAGAACATACCGCGTGACGAAAGACGCTTTATCGACGACCCTTGTGCGAAAGTATAGCGCCTGATGGAACAAATTTGCGGAAAATGAATCCGAAGAATAAGCTTAGCTTAATCGTTACAATTTATTATTTTAATCGTACTTTAGGCTTTCGTAATATAATTTTAATATAAATAACTTTGTACAATATAA